TTATTTATTGTAAGTAAATTGCAGGTACATGTATTGATGAAAAATTCAAAAGTTTTAATATATGAAAAAGAAATTTACCTGGCCATGGGGAAAGTGTCTTAAAGATGTCGAAGCTAACAGTTTATAGCCCTTATACGTGTAACTAGTGTTTGTTTTTTTCTTTTTGCATTTTTTATACCTAAGGCCACTGGAGAGGCATTAAAATGAAGCAAAAACACGCATAAAACAAACCACCCAACATCTGCTTGGAGCCCCAGCTTAGCAACGGTTGTTATGGGACGCGCTAGCCACTGCGCAAGTCCGGAAGTAGAACCCTATGCGTTCTATAGGGCGGTGACATTCAAAGGCAGTGGCGCGTTTTAAAACTTAATTTTCGTCGTTTAAAAGGACATAAGGACCTCACAGTTCTGCTAGAATCTGGCCGAAGACTGCTGCCAGTGTTGGAATAAGTCCCCGTTTTCGTAACAGTAGGTAAAACTTTTATTTTGACGAAAAATTGTTGTTTCGCTGTGCCAACAAACACCCAGTAGCGTACTATACTAGTAGTCGACTACAAATGCCATGTACACAATACATCAGTAGCTTGTTGACTTAACGTATAGCATGAAGCACAGGTTTTGACAATGTCTACATGGAAGTTGGCAGGGATTTGGTTTTATAACGTCAGGATAAGCCACAGTCGCCTAAAATTGTGTAAAAGTCGCCTATAGAAAATTGCAAGTCACTGGGAATGTATATATATATTGTCCCGGTTTACTGCATGCATGACCTACATTTAATGGAACGTGTCTCTTCTCGTGTTGTATCGACTTCCCCGTCGAATTGTAATCTCCAAGCAGATCTTTTGGTGGGGGTAAGACAGTATCAAATTGGCCAGTCTGTAACCAAATGGGGAAATGGATACAGACTGGCCAATTTGATACTGTCTTACCCCCACCAAAAGATCTGCTTGGAGATTAGTCGAATTGGACAAAAAAAAAAGGATTCGATCAAACAGGGATACATGCAGTAGACTGGGCTAAAGCCCACGAGAACATTTCATACAATCCTCCTGTTGTTTTTTGCACACAGTTTTGAGGCGTCTTCAGAGTTACCACCATGGCTTTTGAATACATCCCGCCTGTATTTGCACAGCCCGGAATGGTGCAGCAACCACCAACTCTAGCAGGTGGGTACGAATGTTGTTGTTGTCCTTGATTAACGTCCAATATATAACTAGACGTGGTCTATATTGGTGCTGGTTTGCACTTGGTTCAGTTCAGAGTCAACTTGTCTCTCTTGGTACTAGTATTTAACACTGCCTAATGTTGTGCTTGTGGGAAATTGTCCAACTGGAATTTGAATACTGTCTTCCCCCACCGAAAGATCTGCTTGGAGATTAAACATTTCTTATTCTTTAGACAAAATAAATCAAGTAAAAGTCAGACAGCAGATGCCATATAATTTAAACGCTTGATTAATCTTGTACAATGTATGACGTATAAACTTAACCTTCATTGACATACAAATATTTCGTCAGTCTCTACCAGGACAAACTCCCCCGGCATGTTATCTCTCTATTTGGCCGATTTCTACTCTTTCCAGCCGCCTCCAGAAGCCTGGTAGAGGCTAACAAACATTCCTTATTTCCCATGTTTTCAGCCCCTGGAAGTGAGCCTGGACCGCTGCAGATCAGGGAAATGCAGGAACAAGACGTGGACTTTATCGCCAGAATGCTGGTCGAGGCTTTCAGTGACAAGTTCGAACATGCGGTTGGCAAGAGTCGGTAAGATGTGAAAAGGTGTTGAATGTTAGGAGTCACCCCCAAGTCCTATTTACCTACTAGCCTCTACCAGGCAAATAGTAAAAGTAGTAGAAATTGGACGAAATAAAGGGAGTATACCAGGGGAGTTAGCCGGCCAGAGAAGATCCAATATCGCAAATTGGACCCTCTCTGGCCGGCTAACTCCCCTGGTATACTATCCCTTTCCTTCGGCCATTTTCTACTATTTTTCCAGCGATCCGCGGTGCCTGGTAGAGGCTACTATTTACCCCTAACTCTGCAAGGAGGTGGGGGTGGCCAGAAGATCCACACAAGTCTCGACCTAGTCTCCTGTTCTCGTGAGACTAGGTCACTCCGTGATCAACATGTACAGTAGACATTAAAGGGGGCCTGCATGGGGGTCCTGACAACGCTCTACGCTGAATTCGGAAATCTCTCCATTACGCTCTAGCCTATAAATTCCAAGTGTACAACGCTACAACGCATTACGTTGTGCCATTAAAATGGCCAATACTCTCGATCTACAAAAAATGTGCCAATTACGCTCTACGTAGAATTAAAACGGTCGATTACGCTCTACAGAAAAGGGCATGTGAGCCCCCTTTAATAAAGCTACAAAGGTACATGTTTTTACCTTGAAGTTTATAAAAACCTCACTAATTGAGGAATATTCTACTAACTGTGAAAATTGTTCCCTAGGATGGAGGGAGCGGTGAAACAGACAGCAGGCATGATGGGAAGGTCTCGTCACGTGTGGCACAGATATCGCATTGCCCTGTACGAGGGAAGGCAGGCCGGAGCCATGGCTATCAGGTTTCATGGAGACAAGTGAGTTGCTATGACGTGGCTATGACGTATTTAAGATCAACCATTCGTTCAGTCATTCATTCATTCATTCATAATAATTCATTCATAATAATTCATTCATAATAATTCATTCATAATAATTCATTCATAATAATTCATTCATAATAATTCATTCAAAATAATTCATTCATAATAATCATTCATAATAATTTATTCATTCATTCTTAACCTGGAAATTGACTAATTTGTACAGTCAAACCTGCCACTTCTTCTGTGTCACATAGACACATCATGACAGAGCACAGTGCATTATCACTATGCATAATACATGGCATGAAATGTGTAAAATGTAATTATGCAGTGTTTATTGAAAATTTCCCTGTTTCAGTGCTGAGGAGGATTTCCAGTGTGGAGAGGCCTGCTCTTATCTGGGCTGCTGCGGAACTTGTGGGTAAGGATACTGTCTTAAAGTCCATCATGTGTTAATGAACATGAGTTACATGTTTAAAGTTAAAACTTTTGGTCCAACACAAGAAAGTTCTCACCTAGAGCTTTCAGTCAGTGTTGATGTCACACATCAAAGAAGCCACGTGACAAGCCTCACAGGGTCAGTCTTACTAAGTGAGGAAGACCAGAGTGACTGGTCAAAAGCTTTAAGTGCGAGAACCTTTTTGTGTTGGACCAAATAAATTTGTCTCCATGATCGTTGTAAATGCTTGCAGGCTGACGTGCCTGGGCCTGGGAACCACCGAGTCCTCCATCCGCCTGGGGGAGTGCTACGTTGACCACATCGGTGTGGACGCGAGCTTTCGCGGGAGAGGTGTCGGCAAAATGCTGCTGGAGAGGGCAGACTTCGATGCCAGGCAGCGCGGCTGCACGGTAGGGTGATTTTGCAGAATTTATTGTTACCTGACTGACCCTAGCAAAAATCCTGTTTTTTTATGTTAAGCTCAGGGGGCACTCAGGAATTTCCCTGGTACAATGAACCTGTAAATACTGTACATTATGATGAGCATCTATCTTCTCTGTCACGACCAGTGGAAGAGTAAGCTAGCTCTTCAGTGAGCTAAAACTGGATCAAAAACAGTGAGCTAAAACTGGATTTTTTCTCGCTACCTATGACCACAGAGGATGTTCTTTTTTTTTCAAATTTTTTATGATTGTTTTTCACACAAGTGCGGATATGTATGTATATACACAAAAAGGCAATGCAAAGGACAAGCATGGCATGGAAGACAACATAAACTAAGAGATCACTTTGAAGTTTTTATCTCTCTCCCAGAGGATGTTCCTGTGGGTGAAGCAGACTAACCGAGCGGTCCACCTGTACGAGCGGCAGGGTTACGCCATCGTGGAAACCGTCAACGGAAGCTGCTTCATGCGGTGTACCGTAGGAAGCGGGGTGAGTGGCCAATTGTGGCCATGCACCTCTAACATTGTGTGTTACAGAATCTGTCCAAGCAGATGTTTTGGTGACAGCGAAAGACAGTATGAAACTGGCTAGTGTCGCAAACGGATGTCTTTTGCGGCTACTGAAATATCTGCTTTGAAATTACGATTGGGCCTCCTCGCTTTAACATAGTTAAACATAGTGTGTGGAGAGCTTGATGCTAAGTCGGCTATACACCTGTGCTGTATTATATAAAAATGTGTAGTTTTTGGAAACTTTGAATGATGGAAACTTTATCTTGTTCAAGTTGATGATATATTTTGTCTGACCCTCATCACTTCCCCTCCAACATTATGTATAATATTTCTTATGTTTATTGTATTTCTGTTTGCACAGGATTTCTACAAGATGCAGAAGCAGTTGTAGTGATCACATCCCACACAGTAAACCATGCTTCAGTTCAGACTCAGAGATGTGACTTTTCCATGACTGTACTGGACTCATCATAGGGGGACAGCGTGAACTGAACTGTACATATCAAACAACATTCAACAGCAACAAATATATGCTGGGCCCCATTGGAAAGCAGCTTCTGCTAGTGGAATGGGCTACCCAGACGTTTTATGAGGAAATATGTAAATAGGGCTATAGAGCTTTCCACTGGTACCTCCAATCTTCTTCAGTAGACTGACCCAATGTCACATGGCTTCTCCGAAGTGTGATGTCAACACTGCGAAGGTATCCGGTAAATGATGTTAGGTGTTAGACTTTTCAGGGAATTTTTGTATATATTGTTTAATTGGTTTTATTATGCGGGTATGCTGAGTCTTTATGAACTAAGTTATGTAGATTATCATGGATCTAAACTAAGTCTATATTTCTTGTTTGAAGTTTGCTGCAAGGTTTACTATTTTTAAAGTGTAATGTATGCAAGGAAGTTATTTTTGTTTCATCCTAAAATATTCTAGTACATGTACATGTGTAATGTAATTAGTGTTGTAACTTCTCTATATATTTTACATTAGATCTATAGAAGTACAAAATACTAGTTGTACATTGTAGATAGGACTATATCCATACCTGAGTAAAGAGGCTCTTTTTACACAACCAAGTCTTTAGCTTTTATTCAGCCGACGTTTCGGTGACCGTCTGTCACCTTCTCAGGGCAATTCTGACTGGTTCACATTGCACTGCAGCACAGGTGTCGCTGCTACAGATGCATTCCCAAATGTACAATATTTTATACAAATGTGTGATTGAATAAAAGACTTGGTTGTGTAAAAAAAGAGTCTCTTTACTCAGTGCCTAACCAACCTGATGGAACTATTCACGGATATATACATACATTCATGTGCCTTCACAATCATATAGAACTTTTCTGGTAACTTGATGTATATAATTTGTTTGGAACAAGAATGAAAATTATTACCCCAGATGTATTTTTTGTGTTTTCAAATAAATTGAAATTAAGTAATATGTTCATGACCTTATTGACTGAAACGTTTGAAATATTATGTGGTCTTTAGAGCTTTATATTTAAAGATTAAAATCTCAAAGTTTCTAATAGACATTGAAGCTAACTGGTTTGCAGTAGTGGTTGGTGTTTTTCTTCTTAATGCTTACGGTCAGTACATATAATAGAGACGTAAAAAAATTCAGCAAAACTTGCATAAAACAAACCGCACCCAACATCTGCTTGGAGCCCTAGCTTAGCTACGGTTGCTAGAGGATGCGCTAGCCACTGCGCATGTCCGGAAGTAAGACCCTGTCCGTCCGTTCGTTCGAGAGGACGGGGACATCAAAGGATGATCAGAAGCAGCGAAATTTACCTGGAGGGTTCACGATTTTACGTCGTTTTTAAGGACCTACCGGCCTCGCAGGTCGGCTAGAATCTGTACGAAGACTGCTGCCGTCTTTGTGAGAAGTTCCCGTTTTCCGTAACAGTGAGTAAAACTATCACGAAAGTTCATCTGTGTCGGTAGTTAACGTTACATGTCTAAAGTTAAAACTTTAGATCCAACACAAAAATTCTCTCACCTAGAGCTTTCGACCAGTCACTCTGGTCTTCCTCAGTAGACTGGTCGAAAGCTCTAGGTGAGAGAATTTGTGTTGGACTAAAAGCTTTAACTTTAAAGTGAGTAAAACTGTTATTTTGACCTGAATGCTTGTAAATTGCCCAGTAGTAGCCGACCATAAACGATGTGTAAACATGCAGGAGCACAATAGCTTCACTTGCGTGTATTTGTTGACGTTACGCACTGTTTAAATCGCACGCAGGTAGGGATGTTGAATGCGTCTTGGGAGTTCTTTTTTTTGCGTATTCTTAGGCATTTTATCCCTCTCTCTCTCCCCTCTCTCTCTCCTCTCTCTCCCTCTCTCTCTCTCTCTCTCTCTCTCTCTCACTCTCCCCCCCCTTCTCTCTCAGTCTCTTTGTACTGGTAACTTTTTTTATGCTGCCAAACAGGTGGCCAATTTGATTCTGTCTTTGCAGCTTGATCTGCTCGGAGATTACTAGTAGAAGGTACCATCATGGCTTTGGAGTACACCCCACCTGGGGAACCTGTAGTTGCACAGCCTGAAATGGTACCGCCACCAACTCTAACAGGTGTGTACAAGTTTGTAAATTTTTTCCTGGAGATTTACCCCATTTGTGGAAAGGATGACATAACAGGTGACTGTCACTTTTTTTTTTTTAAGATGTCAAACCTGAGACCAGACTGTAAGGTTTGAACCACTCACACCGGGAAGGTCCCATACTCTTTTCGATAAGTGTGGTGGGATTTTTTATCGTGTTTGAGGTGTGGCTGTCCTCAAACATGGGTCCTAAAGTGCTTTACATCCTATCAAGAAGACTATGGCTTAAGGTACAATTTTCACCTGAGTCAAGTAAAGAAATAGTGCATATCAAGGCACAAAATGGGGCCTGCTGGGAATTTGAACACAGCATTTCGGATTCTGAGTCAACAACCCTAAACACAAGACCACCCTGATTTGATTTATTAGAATTGCAAACAATATAATACTCGTGGGCCACAGGCAGCGGGGGCTGGTGTTGTGGCCCACACACAAGACAATCATAAGCACACAAACAAGACGCACATTTAAACCTAAACAATATAAGTACATAGAAATAAGTATAAGAGTACTAAAATCAGCATAGATTAGAATATATCAGTCCATTTACTACCCTGCCACCTTTAATAAAATGTAGTACATCAATTATATATTAATGTCAACTCAACTGCATCAAGTCAGATATAACATCCCGATGAAAACATTCATTAATAAAATTTGTATTTCCTGTGTTTTCAGCCCCTGGAACTGAGCCTGGACCGCTGCAGATCAGGGAAATGCAGGAACAAGATGTGGACTTTATCGCCAGAATGCTGGTGGAGGCTTTTAGCGACAAGTTTGAGCATGCAGTCGGCAAAAGTCGGTAAGATGGCAGTAAGGTGTCTTGATCAATAGACCTCTAATTTGACCAGCAGGATAGTGTGGTGCTTTGCAGGCACGCGGCGCGGCGGCAGCTAGCTATATCACACCAAACGACTTGTTACACACAATCTTTGCACATTTAAATGCAGGAGTTGTTTAAAGCTTTCTAGTGATGATGCCCCAACTGTGCTTGGTGGCAACAAGTTCCAGTCTATGATAGTTCTGGGGAAATACGGGTTTTTGGCACCTCAATTCTTGATTGATAACTCTGATATTTGAAGGCATGACTGTTTCTTGTTCTTTTCTGGGCTGGTATCAGATACTTAGTGGTTAGTACGTCCAACAGTTTATTAGTCATTTTGTACATCATGCACAGTCTGGACATTCTACCTGTCCTCCAGCGACCCCCACTGTAGGTTTATATAATATGTTTTCCTTCTGGGAAGGTAAACATAAATAGCTATTAAGTCTTTGATTTAAGCTGAGATGCGAATGTTGTTCCCCAGGATGGAGGGAGCGGTGAAACAGACAGCAGGCATGCTGGGAAGGTCTCGGAACGTGTGGCACAGATATCGCATCGCCGTGTACGAGGGCAGGCAGGCTGGAGCCATGGCTATCAGGTTTCACGGGGACAAGTATGTTTATAGTTACTGTTACTATAGTTACTATAGTTAGTAGACACAGGGCACAGATATCGCTGTGTGGCACAGATATCGCTGTGTGGCACAGATATCGCTGTGTGGCACAGATATCGCTGTGTGGCACAGATATCGCTGTGTGGCACAGATATCGCTGTGTGGCACAGATATCGCATCGCCGTGTACGAGGGAAGGCAGGCCGGAGCCATGGCTATCAGGTTTCATGGAGACTAGTGAGTTTATAAGGCAGCTACATGTAACATCTGTGTCCATAATATCACCAGGGTCCATAATATCGCCACCTTGAGAAACAGTGTGCTTAAAGATATTTTTACTGCAACATACCCTAGGTATGTACATTTGATGTGTGAAGGAGTGCATACCAAAAGCATGTTGCAGTAAAAATATCTTTAAGCACACTGTTTCTCAAGGTGGTGACATTATGGACCCTGGTGATATTATGGACACAGATGTTATCATACTCTGGCCTGTTTGAATGTGGTGTTGAATGACAGAGTGGGTAGGCAAGTAGACATGAGACTGAGAGGTCTTAGGTTCAATTCCAGGCCGTTGTGTCTTTATGCTCTTACACAACTTTCCTCACACCACCCACATGCAAACTAGGTACATGTACCTGATGTCAGCTGGGGAGGTAAAAGGAGAGAGATGGGCTCCACCTTCCAATACCGTGCCCTTGACACAGTGGACTAACAGCCCACTGCCCCTACAGCCTCAAAAAGGCTACAGGACTACCTTTACCTAAAGGGCCCTGTCCTTGGTGCTGAATTTGGTATCTAACTTTGGTTGGGCAGGTAAAAATCAGCTCACTGCCCCTGAAGCTAGGGGACTACCTTTACCCCATTCTATTTTAAATTAGAATATCTATTGATTCAAATGCTGGATGCTTAAATCTGTGAGTTGATTGTGTACAATGTGATTGCTGGCACATGATATGACATGTCATTGAGTATAATATGTTATTAAAAACCTTGGTTCCGATCCCTGTTTCAGTGCTGAGGAGGATTTCCAGTGTGGGGAAGCCTGCTCGTATCTGGGCTGCTGCGGAACTTGTGGGTAAGGACCTTGTTTGTTTGTTTGTTTGTTTCTTTGTTTGTGTGTGTGTACAGTTATAGGGGGGCCTGCAAGGGGGGGTTCCGACAACGCTCTATGCTGAATTCGGAAACTTCTCGCTTACGCTTTACGATAAATTCCAAGTGGCCACAACACATTACGTAGAATTAAAACGGCAAATACGCTCTACGCAAAATGTGCCAATTACGCTCTACGTTGAATTACAGTGGTTCGTCTACGCTCTACGTAGATTAAAAACTGCCGATTACGCTCTACGGAAAAGGGCTTGCGGGCCCCCTTATAGAATGGGTCGCGCTGGTCATGGTTCAGAAATATGTAATGATTTTTCCAATGAGTTTTTTCCATGCTCTTTTTAATTTGTTTAAACCCCGGTTGGGTTATACCAAAGACTTTAAAAATGGTACACACTTCATTCTCTGCTTAGCACTCAGCACATATTGGAAAAAGTGTGGGAAGGTCAAACACACAACACTACCAGCGGACTAGCCCCTTGCTGTAGTGCCTTGCACAACTGCCCAAGGGCTACAGAAATGGATATGGCCACCACCCCTATGCTCTGCAATACAGTTGTTGTTTTTTTTTGTAAATGATTGCAGGCTGACATGCTTCGGCCTGGCCACAGAAAAGATGGGGTCCATCCCTATGGGAGAGTGCTACGTTGACCACATCGGTGTGGACGCGAGCTTTCGCGGGAGAGGTGTCGGCAAAATGCTGCTGGAGAGGGCTGACTTCGATGCCAGGCAGCGCGGCTGCACGGTAGGGGGAACAACATACATTTGTACTAAGTAACCTTGGCCAAGGTTATGTTTTTGGTAGCGTTCGTGGATAACTCGAGAAATTTGACATGGATTGAAATGAATAGATTTGGTCCCCCTGGCAGCTTATAATGGTACTACGCACGGTTTTGATATCATCTGAAAAATGGCACAAATTTTACATTATCGAAGTGACATAAGTTTGGGCACCCTAACAGCTCTTTTGTGGACTGCAGGGGCAGTTGTTTGAAATGTTTGAAGCAGGACCCTGCAATTCTTGGATTTTTGAGCTAGTACATAGCATCTGTCTTAGTTCCTCAGCAAGCCCAAACTGAATGGAGATCACTTTGAAATTCTTTTCCTCCCTCCCGGCACCCCCAGAGGATGTTCCTGTGGGTGAAGCAGACTAACCGAGCGGTCCACCTGTACGAGCGGCAGGGTTACGTCGTCGTGGAAACCGTCAACGGGAGCTGCTTCCTCCGATGCGCCATGGGAAGCGGGGTGAGTGGCTGGTACCCGTTTCTGTCTGTATAATCATCATTTGGTCACCCTAGAGGGGGGGGAGGGTCAGGACATTCCCTTGGGGTTAGAGGAAGTCCCTGGGATTGGGGCATGTCTCTGGGGGGGTCAGGACAAGTCCCTAGGAGTCGGCACAAGCCCCTAGGGGTTGAGACAAGTCTTTAGGGGATAGGTGCAAGTACCAGGGGGTTGGGACAAGTCCCTAGGGTAGGGGCAAGTCCATGGGGGTCGGGACAAGACCCTGGGGGTAGGGTCAAGCCCCTGGGAGTCGGGGTAAGTCCCTGGGGGTCGGGGTAGGCCTCTGTGGCTCTATTTGTAATGTCTGTTTAATGTATTTGTTCATGTCTTTTTCTTTTCACAGGATTTTTACAAGATGCAGAAGCAACTGTAGTGTTCAAGTCCCACACAGTAAAAAACACCCAAAGCATCAGCTCAGGGTCAATGATGTGTGTCTATGACTGCATGGACTGTCAAATCATGAGTGTCTGACATTTTATGAAATTTGAATCTGTTACACTTGTGTCATAATTATGAATCATACTTTCTATGTGTACTGAGTTACATATCAGATTATGGATCTTAACTATAGTAGTTTAGAATTATTATATAATACTTAATAATGTATCAACTTTGCTGCAGATTTTACTCTTTTTAAGTGTTGTGTATGCAAGGATGTAAAATATTTCCCAAAGTACTTACACATGTACACTATATATATAATGTGTGCGCGCGCGTGTGTGTGTGTGTGCGCGCGCGCGTGTGTGTGTGTATGTGTGTGTGTCTGTGTGTGTGTGGTGTGTATGTGTGTATGTGTGTGTGTGTGTGTGTGTGTTTGTGCGCGCGTGTGTGTGTGTACATATGTGTGCACAGTCAAATCTACCCAGGAGGAAGACTCAGACCTGGTCAATGTGGACAGGATTTTTAATGCTTGTGTCAAAGGGAAAATTATCTAGGGGGCCATTGTGACTATGTATTCTGTACTCCTGTTGAAATACATGGATGTTTTACCCTTAAGGGACTACTATACCCTTACTTTCAGGTGCCTTCGTGTTCATATTAAACTTTCCTGGTAACTGAATGTATATACTTTGTTTGCAACAAGATTGAAATTCCAACAGATGTATTTTTCAAATAAAATCTTGTTTTCCGAAATTGTGTACAGAAATGTTCATGATTATATCATTGTGGAGTGGTCTCCCCTTCACATCCATAAATACTAAATGTAGACAGCTTCAAAATCTGAAAAAAATGGGACAAAGAACATTTTCCATTTTCGTAACACATTGTATATTGTATGGAAATAACTTTACTCTCTAAGAGTAACCAATAGCATACCATCGGCAAGGCAGCTCACATTTTACAACAGTAAAAAAAGTAAATGTTCCATATTGTTCTCTTTTAAAACTTAATTTCAACATTTTCAGTAGGTCTGCCATGCCTGAGACAGTTACACAATACTTTCATTACTAAAAGTATTACATAACAGTAATTTCTAATGCTGAATCTAAACACAAAGATGGAAAACACAGTCCGGTTCTGGCTGGGTTTTGGGGTTGCCTGTGTAGATCTCCAACACTCCTGCTTCGAGGTGGAAAATAGCTGGAAAAATTAAGCAAAACAGTACTGGTTATAATTAGTCCATATGAACATCATCCAACTGCCAATAGGCCATATGTTCATGTTGCTAAAACTAGAAATCAAATGCATCATTCTCCAATTGTTACAGTCTTTAGTGTGTGTGTCTGTGTGTGTGTGTGTGTGAGTGCGTATTTGCATTTAGGAACGTCTGTGTAATTAATAATGTACGATTTCTTTAGCTTACCTGTTGTTGCTGTTCTGACTTCATCCTTCACGGTTCCGTGCCGATAGACAGGGTAGTCCGGGTCTTTTGTGTCACCTGAAGGTGAATATATTAGACTCAATATTGTGCTATTAAGACACGATATTAAACCGTTGTGTAATCACACTACGACATTATAGACTGGTGAAAGAGCACATACCTGGGTCAGACCAAATTCCCATGCAACAGCACTTAGTTTTAGGGTATACAAAATATACCTGAGCCAGAATTCTATGGGGTTTGTGCGCCCATTTTTTTTACCTTTATTCTAACCTTGAAT